ATCCTTACACTGCTTGGAATGAAACTCATTTCTCTAGAACCAAGAAAATCCAGACGGTATGTGGCCTTGCTGAAGAGGAAGATGCTTAGGATCGCAGTAGGCCAACGAGTAACCAGCTGACAGTTCAAGCCAAAGTTCTTCACCACATGCTTTCCTACAACATTCTGCCAAAGGGTGGACATCGGGAGGCAGTTACCTACTTCGACATGGAGCTCCTCATCCGACTACCATAATGCTAGCAACACCAATGAAGAAAATGTGGATGAGGGAGAGAGGGGACGGGATTAGGAACTCCACGATTTTAGATTGTGTGTTTTTATTGTTAAGTGTTAAAAACGATTGTTGATTGATATTCTGTGGTTTTAGATTTTAGTTATGTGTGAACAATTATGGTTTGTGTGTTATTGTATTTCTTGTTAGTTTGTTTAATTGTTAAGTTATGAAGTTATGAGTCCTTGTTGTCATTATTTATGACTGATTCTGTTGGTTTGAAACATAATTTGTACGAGCAAAAGAACCACACAAATCGACATACATAAGCAAAAAAGTCCAATTTTCACTTTCTTTTTCATTCTCTCTTTTGTTTTCGTCATTTTCATTAAACACGAATACGAGCATGGCACGAGCACGAATAGGCACGGCACGATTCGAACCGTGCCCGGGCCTGAGCCGGGACTAGCAAAGTTAACAAATGAGCTTGCATGGCACGACACGAAAACTGACGGGTCGTGCCAAGCACAACACGAAATAAATGGGCCCGAAGCGTGCCCGTATCGTGCCGGTCCAAGCACGACCCAGCACCCACGTACACATGCATGTCATCATAGGCACCCCTTAAATGTCCCAACAACATGATTTGAGTCTTATATAGTATATACATACCTGATACACCTGGTAGCTTGCTTCCTTCGTTACTAGCATTCTCTTTCACTTATCAAATACAAATACGTAAAAGAAGTTTAGATGATTTAGTAATTACCCTTGCGTGTTAGGTGTTACTGTATAATATAAATGCAAATTGAGGCCTAAACAAATGGTTCTCTGTGCCACATTATATTAAACAGCATCTTGTGAGGACTTTTCAATTACTCTAGATGGAAGCTCTACTAACCTTTTGATGCTTAAAGGGGAAATTTAGCCTAATAATTATTGTTAGTGGTCAGCAGAACATAAAGGCTGGTTATAGGATTTCGACCGTAAAAGTATTGATAAGAAAGATCATGCGATCTTTTGTGGGGTATGGCATATGGAGTGTCTAAATATATTATTATTATTGTTATTGTTGTTGGCAGCAATTACCAAACCTCCCTGCGACCTTGCTTCCTACTTGTGCTTTTAATGATTCTAAATGTTCACTACCAAACGATTTTTATGCAAAAAAAAAAAAAAAAAAAAAAAAAAAACTACACAAATGTTTAGGGTGCATTGCTTAGATGGCGTCATGCACATGTTAACTTTAAATTTTTTTATCCTTCATAATAATTAGACAAACTAGCGTGGCCCAGGCCATTTGGCCGGAGGAAGGTGCGGTATGAAATTTGATAATGTAAAAGGGTGTATAGCTTATTATTGTTTAGTTTTCTTTTTTTTGGAAACACGTGATAAAAATAATGAATTTTAGTAGGAAAGAGACATGAATGATGCAACGAATCAAAAATCAGCCTTATGAACCAAAATAAAGTACCTGTTACCTTGTGAAACAATATTGTTCCTGGTAATATGATGAGGTGGAGTAAGTTTTATAGAAACCAAATTCCAGAAAATCGAATAAAAAATCGCCTATCCCGCCGGTTTTCCGGAAATGAGCATCTCACAATCGTTGCTAGCTTTTACTCGGCCCGTTGGCCGATTAATTTGCTTTATAAAACTTTCATCTTGTCATCATTGTGCTTTCTGGTTTTTTGTCAAGTCATGATAAAATCTAAAGAAATCAAGAATGAACAACACGATTTGGGATATGAACCACCGTTCCTGTATCCCCAGAAAATTGTGGTAAACACGGACTCACCTGCCAAACTGGTTTGGATTGAGATTTTTATCGGGTATCAGGGAACCATGTGGTTATAAATTAGACTTAATCAAAACGGGCCAAAACTTGAAATTAGCCTGTTTGACTGACCCATGCCAAACTCTAATTATTCTTTTTTTAAAACTTTCTATTTGAAAATAAAAAATAATGAAATAAAAGAGATGACTGCAATTCGTCATTTGCACATCACTGATTCAGGAATAAAACTATAGAATTTCGAAAGGAAACTGAAAAGGTTTAGGATCGTTTTAATGTTAAAAATAACCAAATAGATCTTTCTGTTTAGTTTTTTACTAACAAATACCAAACGGTTCCCTATAATATACACTATAATTTAATCATTATGATATCAAATAATTACATAATATATATTTGAGATTATAAAAATTGTACTAATTGGGTTGGTCGAGGTTGAACCATTGAATAACTTTAAAATACATTATATTTTAGCCACTAAGATATAAAATAATAGCATATATTATGCTAGAGAAAATAGCTTGTTTTAGAATGGCAAATCCATGATGTTCATTTGTTTTACTTGATGGGCAAATCTCGTGTAGGTCAGGCCCATTCAACTCTTTTATTTTATGATTAGCGGTTAGCCCATTAGAATCCATGCATTAGTTTATTGTTAAATTTTTTTCTTTTTTAGCAATAAAAAGGAGTATTTTTTTTGCCTTTTCATATATATTTTACCACCACGGAGAAATAAAATGACTTAAAGAAAAATATTGACACTCCTGGACCCGTTAAAATGTGCATGTGTACGGTAAGTTGGCCCGTTCCACAAAGAAAAAAGAAAAAAATTGACACTCCCTATTCTGCGATTATATGTTTTCCTCTCTGCGAGTATATGTTTTTAATTTAAAAAGATACAACAAATGTACTTAGTGTGATTGGTTATGATCGTTCGCAAAATATTTAAAGTGACAATTCTATTAGAATTGTCTGTCTCCATTATCCTGGAACGAGGAAGATATCATCAGTAATCTATTGGTCAATAATTATGCAGAAGTTAACTATCGGTACCTCCTGCTAATTATGCAAGGAGTCTAAAAATTTTCTCTTTAATTTTTAACGAATGATTTTTCTCTTATTTTAAGTTAGAATTTATATTTTTTGCACAGATAAATCAGATTAATTGCGCTATTCAAAATAATATCTAATTTGATATATTATGTATAAAAAAATTTAGGAATTTATTACCAATCTATACCATTGTGGTGTTTGATTGGTATTAAATAAGAGCACACCTTATGGTATGAAAGCATACCATGGTGGTATGAACATATCAGACTGTAAGATGATTGAATACATGATAGTGATAGTTTACTAACTTTCATTTACGACTTTTTTGTAGAAATTTCTAGAAAAAGACTACAAGACATATCTGACACACTCACAAGATAAAAGAATAGAAAAACATAAGGAAAAAAAAAAAGAAACTAGTTGAAGGGTTAGAGAAAAAAAGGGTAAAATGGCTCGGCTAGCCCTGAAGTCTAATAAATGGGGGAGTTGTACCACCTAAATCAAAATTATGCATTGGATGCTATTAATATCGCTTAACCATAGTTGTACTCATTTTTCGTCCAATTAACTCACAGTGTGAATTAAAAATATTTTTCTTGCCAACTCAGATACCCCATGTTGGATAGGGCATGCAGAGTCACCTAAGCCGTCACTTACTACCAATCTCGTGAAATAAATAAGATAAATAAAAAGGGGAATTTTTTTTTGAATTCCTAAAATTGAATAGACTCTTCATCTCCTATTCCGGCATGCAAAGTGAAGCAAGAAAACCTTGTGTTCTTTAGCCGAAGCGGAGAATACGACAAACAAAAAATTAAGGGTTGCACTTAGTGGCGGACCCAGGAATTTTTCCCAAGGGTGTCATGTCCTCTTTTAAAAAATAAATTTAGTAAAAATAAAAATAAAATAATTAATAAAAATAAAATTGTAAATTAGAATGTACAGTGGTAAAAATTTTGTCTCTATATAATCTACTAGACAATCATTCACGAACTTATCGCATATTTGATTTGTAAACTTGTTCTTGATGTAAACCAAAGCTGAAAGAATCTTTCCACACTTGTCGTACAACCATAAAATCAATACAAATTAAGGGTAGATTGAAATTAGTTTAATTTCTATGTTTTGAAAATAATTAGAAATAGGGAATGACATTTTACTATGATAAAGTGTTTAAAATCAAACAACAAATGAGTTGTAGTTTAATGGAAATTAAGTTTGTTAATAATGATAGTGCTCTAGGTTTGAATTAACCAACCTATCACTTATATTCTCATACACAAATTTAAAAAATGACATGATAATAATCATTTTTTCAAATTTTAGGGGTGTCCCTCACTACCAATTATAAATTTTTTACCGATACGTAAATTACTACCGTGGGTTGAATAATCGTTTCCGCAAAATTTAGGGGTGTCCCGGGACAACCCTAAACCTCCATGCGTCCGCCCCTGGTTGCACTCCCTGAGAAGACGAAGGCGGCTGGCAACCCGTTTCCTTGGTTCAACTCTTCGTTTTTCTGTCTCTGTATCTAGTTTTCTTCTGTAATACAACAATCGTTGAACTGATCGTTGCCATTCCTTTGCGATTTAGGAGTTTCTCATTGAACGACCGTCTAGGCTATGTATCTTCTAAACCTGTGTCTTTTCTTTGATTTATGAGGATGATGAGAATGGTGAGTGAAATTATGCTTCCAGGTCGTCGAGAATCTTGGTGTGGGTCTCTGTTTTTTTTAATACAATTCTGTGTGTGTTGTTTTTTAATCAATGGTTCGTACATCCATATATAGAGGCATGCAATTTGGTGTTCTGTAAGTGGAAGCAAAGGATAATCTCTTGAAGCTCTGACTTGGAGTGATCGGTGTAACCATGGCCCCGATTTCGAGTGGTCCTAGCAACCTTGATGCTATACCTGCGTATGGGTGAAGATGTATGGTGGAGAAATGGTCTACCTAATGAGTGAAGATGTATGCTATTTTAAAGGAAACGTACATTACTTGGATTGAGTTGACCCAGATTGTTGGTCAATCATGGAGTTAGATGGTTTTCTTACCAATATAGGATACCAAGAGCATGTCGGGACCAGGAACATGGAAGAGCATAGGATGTTGAATGGTTTGTCATACTACTATAGAGTTATTGGCGAGAGATTGAAGGAAGGTCTCACGGAGTTGAAGTACGATGAAGAATTATTGAATATAGCTCAAGAAGTTATCAAAGATAAAAAAAAAATCTAGAGTTGTATCTCACTAAGAAAGCGCAGCTGGAAAGAGCTACATTAGAAGCAGATATTCATGAGTTAGCTTGTAACAATGAAAAAACAGCCAACAAATCAAGTGGCAATGCTCTAGAAACTGCCAACATGAGTCGTCAAACACCTATGCCAACCCTCAACAATGAGAAGGACCAAGGACAACCTTCAACTGTAATTCCACAGCCAGAAGGAGAAGAAGGAAATAAGTCAGATGCCGACAGTGGGTTCATTGATTCTAAAAATGAAGTGAGCGACGACGAGTTTGATATAGATGATTTAGCTGGTGGAGGGGGAAATCATCATTTTCCCATTGATGATGTGCTTCCTGAAGATGTTGACACTTATTGTGTTGATTCGGACTAATTGGATAGTATCCACTCAAGTGATGACAAAGGAAGTTCAAGAACAAGGTTTGAAGAATTTAATCTAGAAAATGATATGGGAAATCCTCAATTCAGGATTGGACAAATCTTCAGAGATTTTCATACCTTTAAGGAGACTGTCAAGGCATACTCGATAATGAACAAGTTTCCTTTGAGGGTTGGACATAGTGATACAAAATGTGTTCAAGTCCTTTGTGATCCTAGCTGCGAATGGAATATTTGGTTGTCGGCTACAAGAGATAAGAAGGCGGTTCAAATCAAAACCTGCAACTTGATACATAATGGATGTGTCTTGGTGTCTAGGCACAAATGGTTCGATTACAAGTTCATTGCAAAGAAGTACTTAATTAGGTTTGAACTTGATCCTAAATGGGAAACGATTCCATTATGCAAACGGTGCAAGAAGACTTCCACTACACCATATAAAGATGGACTACATCTCGGGCGAGGACCTATACATTGGAGCTTGTAAGAGGGAAGGCTGGAGATCAGTTTAGATGTATTCATAACTACTGTGGAAGCACAGGTGAAGACATCTCCTTTTAGAACGGCTTGTGGATTGAAGAAGTAACCCTTGTTGTTGATTTCCCTCGAGTCACCGTGACAGCTGAGAACCCTCGTGCAAGACTACCAGATATCCTTTTAACAGATAATGGGAGTTTATCTTAGAATATTCCTTTAAAGTTTTTGTTTTTGGGGGGGGGGGGGGGTGCTAAGTGGGAAAGGGAGAGGTTGTGAGAGGGTTTTTTTTCGCACAAAACCATTCGAGAGAGTCACATACCGTTCAAAGCATGCTTGTTTGTGTGGTTGGCATATCCACATCGAATTGTAACACAAGATGCACTTAAAATAAAAGGATGGAGCTTGCCCAACAGTTGTCCTCTTTGCACCAACAGTGAAGAAGACCCATATCACTTATTCCTTAATAGCATATTCATAATGGAAGTTTGGATGATCATCATCATTTTTGTCTACTCAAATAATAGGCATATAAATTCTGACCTAGCTCAAGTGATCAAGAGGTGGACTCCGTAGTCTTTGTTGCACGCTTGGCTATGTTGTGTGTGGAAGGAGAGGAACGGTCGGATCTTCTAAGACAAGTGTTCAACCTCGCAAGTTGTCTCCTATAAGATAGGTATACTCATTGCATCTTGGCTCACGGTAGCAGGAAAGATTGATAGGCAGATTGGGGAGAGCACTTCTACTATGCTATATAGTATTGGTGCTTTAATGTACAACTTAAAATTGTACCATAACATTAAATGTATAAGTTTAGGTTGTACCATAAAGCAATTTGTACCATTATGTTATGGTACAACTTTACAACTTGAAGTTGTACCATCACATAAAGGTACAAGTCCAAGTTGTACCATAAAAGAATTTGTACAAAAAGTATAGGTACAATCTAAAGTTGTACCATAACGTAAATGTACAATTTTAAGTTGTACCATAAAGGCAAAATCCTATAACACCAATACTATATAGCATTGTAAAATTTCTCGATTGGGGATGGTTGGACCTTTTTCCCGAGGCCTCCAATGCATCATTTTTTAAGGTGTCGGGGTCAACAACATGAAGCATCTCTTTTCTTGACCGTTGACAACAATAACGGCCCTTGAACCTCTTGTTTTTTGCAGCTATAACTTCAACTCCTTGTCGCTCGAGTCTCGGTCCTCTTGCTTCTCATTTTAGGTGTTGTTTGATCGAATGTGGTTTTTAGCTGATGGCTCGTGCCTTTTTTATGTTTTCTTCTCTGTTTCTTATTTTGCCTTTTTTGTAACTTTACTAATTAAATGAATTTCACCATTATACAAAAAAGCTCTTTTTAGAATTTGATGCCAGTGTTGGCATTTTATTCATTCTCTTTTGATTTTGTTTTGATTTATTGGTTCACTTGAGCTTGGCTACCTCTTTCACAATGTGATCACGCACCATTCAAAAACGAGCACGCCCCTCCTCCAAAATAATAGACAGACACAAACAAGCTAGTAATCAAACACATCACAATTCAGCCGGTCGCAAACATCAACTTTATTACCCCTTAACAAAAGCGTCTATGATATTCATTTTTAATATAATTTCAAAATAATTTCGGTTCAAGTATATTGCCATGGTATAGGTTTGCATCATTATGATATATTTCATTTCACTATGCAATATATATAGAGTGCTTTAATTGACCTATTTTTTTATTTACAATTCTATCAAGTGGATGATGTATTGTAATCATAAATTTCTATAAAAGATTTTCAGATCTAAGTGCCCTATAAGATAGATATTAATTCGTGAAAAAATAATAGAAAGTCTTTATGTAGTGGCACATAATCCAAATAGACAAATTGGCATATTCTATTCCTGACTTCTCGAGGATAAGAAACAATCGCAACGAAAAGATGGAAATTCAGATACTTTTAAAGACTAAAACTGTAAGGAAATAATTAAAAATCATGATGATAATTAAGCTGGAGCCTTTATTATTGCACGCCAAATCTAAACAACAATCTGGAGTGGAAAACAATTACACAAATAGGCCAACTACCCAGAGAAGAAAAAGAAAAAAAAGTAAAGCATAATACAACAAACGCATAACCCAAAAAACTCCTAAACAGGAAATGTCCCACCACCAATCAAAGGGAAACAAAAAGAGACTAATGAGGGCAATTACATAAGAGACTAAGAGAGTAAAAATCACAGAACTCTCATAAAAACTCCCTCAAGAAGTAAAATATCATACACTGCAGTAATATCCCGTTCTTCAACGCCATCTAGGGGGTGACTAATAAACCTGTTTGATCTGATATCAACCAGGCAAAAAAATTGGGCTGTAACCCAAACAAACAACCCCACTTGATGAAGAAGAACGGGGAAAAAAACCCATCAGCAGCCTTTGATAGTTGGCGGCGAAAATCCTTTCAGAAGTTTGGTGGATCAAAAAAGCTTGAATGAAGCACGTACGGAAGTGCAAAAACGTACTAAGATCTACTTCACTACTTGTATTTATCGATGTGTAGCAGTTTCGGATGAGAGCGGTGATCTATTTCAAAGCCCTTCTCAGGTTCCTCACAAGGTCAACCATTGTTATGGAGAAATCGTAGTCCATCTACAATACCATCACGTACGACACCAGCAATGGTTAGTTTTTTGTTTTTGTCACAACTTGTATTAGGAACATAGATGAAGTTAAGTATGTTACGAACAATACCTGCGCGACCACAGTTATGTCAAGGATGGAGCTTCCAAACGGCAGGACGTTGCTGTTCACGACACTGAGATTGAGCTTCTCCACCTCTCCCAGCAGTCTCGGGAGGGATCCTTTCTGCTTCTCGCAGTGGATCCGGATCATGACGTCTTTGCCCGAGACTCTAGCCTCGATCTCCGGGAGCTGGGACTGGTTGGAGGAGCCGTTGTCGTCGGAGCAGCAGTTCTCGTCAGTCGAGGAAGATTCGTCGTCGTCCAGATTGTACACACGGGACTTGTTCACGTAAACCACCGACTCCATCGTCTTCCTGCTCGCCTGTTCCTCGAGCGTCTGCACCCGCTCCTGAAGCTGCTTCAGGTATTTGATCGCGTCTCCCAGAACCGACGCCTTGTCCATCTGTTTCAAAAAAAGATATTTTATTCTCTTACTAATTAATATTATTCCCTATAATAATAACTGTTTTTGTGTAATCATATCAAAAGCTTGATGGTAATAATGATGTAGAACCGTACCTTTTTTAGCCCTGGGACAACAGCTGAAAGGGCAATGAATCGCTGGCTGAGCTTCTCGCGGCGCTTCCTTTCGGCCACGACGTGATCCTGTGCACTAAGAGGGGATCTGCTCATTGCAGCAGCGGCAGCCGTCCTTTTGAGGCCCTGTCCACTGTTGAAGACGGAACCGTATTGTTCGTCGACGGAAGAAGGCTCCGGAATCAGAGAATTAGATGCATACTCAGGCTTAACAACAGCAGCAGCTGGTTTCGCGCTGCTGCGAGGAGGCTTCTGAAGCGAATCGGTGGAGCTTTCGAAAGAGATGATGCATGAATACGGAGAAGAAGGAGGTTTGGAGATCAATTGGCTGGTGTTGGTAATTAGTTTGGCAACTTTGGCAGGCCTGGAGGTTTCAATTTCATAGCTCTCGGCAAAATTGGAGGGGGATGGAGTGAAGCTTTGAGGCATGGTGTGAGCTGGAATGGTTTCGTTGGGGATGAAGTTCATGTCGGAGGAGAAGGAGTGGTCGAAGTTGAAGTCGTCCATTGCGTAGTCGAGAGCGGGATGGCAGTGGTAATTGAAAGTTGGATCTTCCATTCCCTGCTTTGGACACAGATCCAGGACAGAAAATCTTTACAACAATCCTTCCAAGGAGTAGTAATTAAGTGACTAGATTAACAAAATATATAATGCCTACTTACCAACTCAGGCAACCACTGGGTTTGTGCGATTTCCATCGAATTGATGATTCTAAGATGCGAACTACGACTTTACTTCGCCGGGAATTCTGCTCTGCCAACTTAGATTTGACTTTGTTAGACCACGTATCTCAGAACCCTGAAAAAACTGCAGCAGCGATCTAAGGGTATATAGCTGTGAAATGAATTGATGGGTTGGGGTTGGGGGGGAGAGGAGACTTTTTGGAATGACAGCTGAGTTGTTGTTATTATGATTGGGGAGCAGCTGAAGAAGAAGAAGAAGAAGGTGGAGGAAGAGGGTTCAAGTGGGTGTTTTATAGTCAAGAGAAATTATAATGAAGATGTTTGTTGAGGGGAGTGGGAGATGGACTGGATTGCTTCTGTTTCCGTGGAAGATGGAGAATTGTTACTTTTTTATTATTTTTTTTCTTTCTCTGTGCTGATCAGCAGATCAAGTTATGTTGGAAATTCAACGAGCTTGTATTAGCACACGTGTGAAAATGGTTTTGGGTGTGATGTTGAAAACCAAGATTGACGGAGAAGCGCCATGGAAATGAATGGCAAAAGAGGAAAAGAAGAAAACAAAAGGAAG